TAGAATCTTTTTTCTTATTGTTAGTCAATACGAAAATTGATCAGTTGCAGGTGACATTTGTGTATTCTGTGCAGACTGGATCAATGTCGATATTAGGTCACAAGCATGTTTCGTCCTTGTCTTTGGCTAGATGAGTTCTACGACATCTCACAACTAATGTTCACACCGGGATTCGAACACAGTACCGTTCAATTCAAACAAAACAGAGTTATCTATTTATCTACTGAGTCCAGATAGACATTGACTTGTACAATGGGGCGAATGTTAATTCATTCTTATTGATGATATGAATATTCCCAATAATAGTTAGGGCTATAGTTGATAAGTTTCATTTAGTCATATGTGCACAAGCCAGTAACTGTCTGTATCCAGTAGTTAAGTGGATAACACGATGGTGTTTGAAGCGAAAGGTATTTACACATTTGAAATCACCAATCAATCATTGTCAGACCATCGTTAGAAACATAGAAGCACTGGATGGTATGGGATTCATCAGCAGTGCGCATCCACGACTCCTGCTGCTCGCAGGATTCGAACCCGGGGCCTTCGGGATCGTGCGCAAACGCCTAACTTCTGGATGACTGGGCAGGCATCCATGTCTAACTCTGATTGATCTGGGGATTTTGCGCGACCTGACCCATTTGTCTTCGGTAGTTATTATATACACCCGACAGGGTTGAAATCCATTGGTCACGTCTTCTCACAAAAACTCCTAGAATTTCCTCACGAAGCTAATCACTAGTGAGCACATTTTACGATATTTTCAATTAGGGTTATGGAGATTAGTGTTTTTACACAAGGTCCCGGGTTTGAACCCTGAGAGATGCAGGAGTCGTGGATGCGCACTACTGATGAGTCCCATACCAAGACGAAACGGCCATCCAGTACTTCCAGGTTTCTTCTAATGGTGGCCTAACAATGGTTGATCGATGATTTCAACTGTGTAAAAACACTAATCTCCATAACTCTAATTGAAAGGTATTTAATCAAAGTACCGAAGTACCGAACAACAACTCTGAAATGTGACAGATATATCTAGCCAAGGATGAGTCCTAACATAGGACGAAACGCACCCGCTGATGATGTAGACAAGTTGATATACTTGAAATGACATGACCATTTCAACAGTATCAATCACCTCGATACATATCAACTAAATAAATTTATGTTCACTCATTAAAGATGTTACCACCTAAAATGAAGCTTAATAAAATCGAATATGAATACGAATTCAAATCAATTCGAAAAACGAGTAATATTTGAGTATGCAAATTTTTAAAATATTTTAATTTCGATTAAAAATCTATTAAGTACATAAAAAAGAAGTTAAGACATATAGTTTACATTCTCTGTTCAATCAAAAAGATTTTCTTCGTTCTAGTGTGGTGGATGCTACAACACAAGGTGGTATTTATGTAGTAAGGTGGTAGTAGAAGGTGTCTATAAGTTGCTACCAAAGAGAAGAGTGTTTGGAGATTAAAATGCATTACCGCAATCTAAATGTATAACAGGCCAGAAGAGATAGGAGAGAAGGCAGTTAAGAATCTGCTTGTATTACAAATGAATATTTGGTGATTATGTGTAAACAATTTTTAAATAAACAGTATCTTCCTCGTACGCTAACACTCTGGTACTTGACAAGCTATTTTAATATGGATATTGACTGTAATCACTTACACATTATTAATAAATACAGATACACATATACACAGAGATATTTCATTTACTCTAAATATTTACCAGTGAAATATGGTTTTTTTCAATTAGAGTTATGAAGGTCATTTTGACACACTGAAATTAGGTGTTCGCGCACAAGACCGAAGGTCCTGAGTTCGAATCGTGCGAGTAGCAGTTGTCGTGGATGCGTATTGCTGATGAGTCTTATACCAAGACGAAACGACCGACCAGTGCTTCCAGGTTTCTAATGAAGGTCTAACAATGATTGATTGATCATTTCAACTTATGAAGGTGTTTTATAGAATATTTATAAACGTTGACGACGATCTACTCTATTTCATGTTAGATTTTGATAATAAAAAATTCTCAGAACAGAAAAATCTCACCGTAAAATAAACATATACTTCTAAGCGATTAACTTCATAAAAGATTCTCTGCAGTCTTATCATTAAACTCTGATCGATGGAGTTAATGAGGTTAAGAATGAAATAGTAATCGATCGATGACAACACAATAAGCAAAATGATTATGTTGTAGTATGAATGAAATATTGGATTAAAACTGAATGATTTAAAAATATTGATTGGTAGTAACTCATTTTTGTAGCCTTGAACCGAACTATAAGTATTGGGTTAGTTAAAATACACGGGGTAGGTTTGGAGCCAACAACCTATTAATTGAAAGCTGAATGCTCTGGATGGATTTAGAAAAATATTACAAAACCTGGCTTGCATATCATATCAAAACTGAAAAGTAGATGGAAAAAAGCACCATTGAATAAAGCCGGTTATGCACTTAACAACGAAGTAGACTTTATGTTCTTAATGGAACCAAAAAGATAATTGACATATATATACCAGTTATTGGTATACACTTTATTCAATTTTCTAACTGCAGCTTCCTATTCAAAACTAGACTGTGAGTTTACTTAGCAGGTTGAGAAAACATATACAAACTGTACACATATAACCGAATCGGATAACCGTAAAATTTATCATTGGTATGGCAACCTGAACTGATGTATTTACGTACGAAGTTGTACGTTGCAGCTGACTGACTGACTGACCGACACATTGACTTTATACCTAACTTGAATAAAAATAAAAACGTCTAACGTGCCTTTTGTCATTGTACATAAAAGATGAGAACATATGAATTGAAAAGAAGCAACTGTCAGTTCAAATCCAAGAGTGATAGTGATAGTAGAATTATTAGCAGCAATGGAGAAGATTAGGGAGCGAAGAGATGATTCGAGAAGTATTATTCAGTAAGATAAATTTAGAAGGAGAAAGATAGAGATTATGAGGAATTCAGAAGGTTAGAATTAGAGAGAACACAAAGAGCGGATGCACCTGCGCCATTCCAAACGATTCTGAGCCATGTCATTCAAGGTCTCTAACCACTGATTGAGATGAGTTTCAAGGTATAGCCCACTTATATACATAATTCAAAGAAAATATTTAGTCAGTCAGTCAATTACAATGTAGAATTTCGTAGGTACGGACATCAGTTCAACTTGCCATACCACATTGGCATAGGAACACAGTTGTCAATTCGAATTCCAAGGTAGTAAAGGTAGTAGAAGTATTTTAGCAGTAATGCAGAAGATTAGGGTTCGAAGATATTATTCAACAAGTATAATTCAGCTAGAAAAACAATGTCAATCAACTGAAGATATTCACGTCCGAGGAGTTTCATGGATATGTGCAACAACAGTGGAGTTCAACCCTGTCAGGTGTAGGCAGTAACTACCAAAGACAAATGGATGAGGTCGCGCAAAATCCCTAGATTAATCAAAGTTAAATATTTAACACCGTTGGATGCCTGCCCAGTTGTCCAGAGGTTATGCGTTCGCACGCAACACTGAAGGTTCTGGGGTTCGAATCCTAACAGCAGCAGGAGTCGTGGATGCGCACTGTTGATGAGTCCCACACCAGGACGAAACGGCCATCCAGTGCTTCCAGGTTTCTTCTAATGATGGTCTAACAATGAGTGATTGATGACTTCAGTGTGTAGAGAAATACACAACAGACAAAAATATTATCTCAAATAGAAAGAAATAGTGATTGATTTATTTCGTATTTTGTAAATTAATATTATCATAATTTCAATTTCGCTTATTTATTAGAAAATATCTCTGTTCATACAAGTCACATAAAACTATTCAATAAAAAACACTGTTATATCAGTGTAAACTTTTGTAAAATTGATCATAAAGGATAAAAAGAAAACATTCACAGATGATCAATTAAAAAAAAGTATTTTTCCTTAATAAAAAATATACATACTACTGAAATATAATTCAATTTAAAATGGTTTATGTTTTACTGACTGTTGATGCTTTTTTAAACTGACATTTAATCAGTCTCAATCGGTAGTATATAGACATCATCTACTACTGGGGCTGCCTTGATCTAGGCATTAGGACACAAGGAGCTCAGTTACTCCTGACTGGGACTTGTCTTTGGCTAGATGGATGTACCTGTGTCTCAACATACTCTACTGCTGATATATGTTTTTCATAGTAAGCAATCTAGTAAACATAACTCCACATGGAGCCCATCTATGATTAATGACGGTCTCAAGCCCCCGGATAAAGGAGGATGGTTGGGCATAGAGTTAGTGACCCCATCCTGTAGAAATTCAACTCGTGAAAAAAACGGCAACCAGAAAAAAATAATTCACTGGTTCTCGACCTATGCTCCATTATGGGTATAACATGCGTAAGTAAACAAGTAAGCATTTTAGTCAACAAAAGTTGTGCATAAATGAACGAACATAAAAGCATAGTTAACAGTGAAATCGAACCATCTAGTCGGTTGTGCTAAAATATAGAACTTTGTAAAAAAAATACGTACGTAATACATCAATTCAACTTGTCATACCACACATTCCCACACAGAGAAGAGAGTGAGAGAGAGAGAGAAATGGAATTGCAATTTATATCTCCCTAAAGTAGAAGAGATAGTAGCAGAAGTATGAATAATAATCGAGAAGATGAACACTAGAAGATATTATTAATCCAATGATACCAAACATATAAACACCGTCGGATGCCGGCCCAGTGGTCCAATGGTTAGGCGTTCGCGCACAATACCGAAGGTCCCGGGTTCGAATCCTGCGAGGTACAGGAGTCGTGGATGCGCACTGCCACTGATGAGTCCCATCCATACCAGGACGAAACGGCCGTCTCTCAGTACTTCCATATTTCTAATGGTGGTCTAACAATGATTGATTGATGATTTTAAATGTGTAAAAACACAAACTTCCAAATCTCTGCCCGAAAATATAAACAACACAACCCACCACCAAGAAAAACTTACAGAATCACTTTGTTGTATGATTATTTCATTAGGATGATTTTCACCAGCTGATCGATCAACAACAACACCATCATCATTATCATCATTCTTATCATTGAAATTCTTATTTTTATTACGGATAAAATGATCAGTTACTTTGTTAACTTCATCATTTGCATTCTTGTCATCATCATCATCATCATTATCATATTCCAATTCGACAGGAATTGACAATTTATTTGAATCTGTTGTCAGAAGGCCAAGTGAATTTAACTCGCTATCGTCAATTTCATCAATCTAAAAAGAAAATGAATAGATAAATTAATGAGTTTCAATTATTGAGTTACAACAATAGTAGTAACATAGGAAGTGTGGCAGATACTACTCACAACGTGGTTTATAAGTAGTATGCCGTAGTGACACATAAGTTATTACAGGAAAGAAGAGTGCCTAAAGATTAAATTACTTTGAAGATTAGATTTGCTTGGATGGCGAGCGAAAGCCTGTGGTCACGCGGTAGCCTATAAAAAACATTAAGTTAGTTCACCGTTCGTTCAATCAGGATCCTGTGGTTTACGTGCATGATTGGTTCAGAATCAGGGTTTGTCAACTCCCCAAGACGAATACTCTATAATCACCAACTCAGTTTTAGACCCGGTCGGACACTCAACGTTCATCGTCTTAATTTCACAAACAACTCTTATATCACGAGAAGGCGGTGAGAAAAACTTCACTGGCGCTGGATATATAAGCGTGTACATATGAGAGTATTCTGAAAACGAGGGCAGACTCTCCCCACTCTCGACCATACGAAATTAAAAAATATCAAAAAACATAATTTTTAAGAGAAACGTTATGTTGGATAATTGCTTTAGAATACCGGGTAGCATTGTTATATCACCCTTGGACTGCCTTTTTATCCTGGTATGGGACTCATCAGCACTGCGCATCCACGGCTCCTGCTACTCGTAGTGTAGTGAAGGAGAACACAGGTGAGGCGACCGGATTGTATTTAACGAAATTACAGAGTTACTCAGGAAAATCGGAAAACCATATCGTTAATTGTTAATTTGCAAAATATCAGTTCATCATATCGAACTGGACTGTTCCGGCTGCAAAACATCAATCCATTGTCACTATTCATGCGTTTCATACAAATTCCATTGTGTTCTAACATTACGTTGACACTCACATCATATACTACTTATAAGTAGCTCGCACCACAGTAGAATTCGAACCCAGAACCTTCGGTCTTGCGCGCAAACGCATAACCTCTGGACAACTGGGCCGGCATCCAACGGTATTAATGTCTAACTGTGACTAGAGGTTACGCGTTAGTGCAAAAGACAGCCACCCAGTGGTTTGAGGCTTCTAATGGTGGTCTAACTATGAGTGACACAAGATTTCTATGTGTAACAACAAAGATAATCATAACTGTAATTGATATATATACATATATATATAAGTTAATTGCAGGATGTTTTTGAGTACTCTGGACAATAAAAACAAAACCCACTAATGTAGAAAAAAACTGATTCTTGCATTCTCTGAAAGAACGAAACGCCATCACAACCAGCTACACTTTCAGGCAATACCAAACTAGTTTACCGAATAAGGTTAATATCATAAATAAAAATCTAAAGTCGGAGAAATTTCTACCTCAATAACAAATGAACTAAAAATTGTTGATTTCTACTTCAATCGCTTTCGAATGCATCAAAACACAATAGGTTTGATAGATTTTGTCTTCACCATTGAATTAAAACGTTCTAGATTCAGTCATAAATGACGTCATAGAGGTACCTGATTGATAAGAAATATATAACTAGAACATCAGTAAGGGTCTGGTAACCAAGTTCCAAGATGAGAGAGACACTAACTTCCAATTGATTGAATCACTTTAAACATTGATGTCAAGAAATTTTCATTTTATGTAAGCTAATATAATATTGTCATCAGTTTAAATAACATTTGGATTGACAAATCTCAAATGAACTGTTTTTACTATGGCTTATAAATATTGCCTTGTCTATAAAAGTAATCACGTTGAACTAGGAGCATATTTGTGTAATGCACCAAACTCATGTTCTCACTACTTTTACACTAACATTACTCAAATAACAGATTAACATGACCTATGTTGAACAGAAACTCCGTCTAGAGTTCTTCTAGGATTACTACCCGTTCTAGGCCAGGATAAAGAAAGAAAGTTGAGCAAAGAGTTGATAACCTTATCTTGTTGAAAACAAACTTGCTAAGAAACAATGCTAACTAGCAATAAAATCTCACACACACACAGCAGTCAAAGTAATTTTATTCATATTTTCATAAATAACTCACATATTCATTTATATAAATAATCATAAAACAAACAAATTACAATCATTTATCTATCTTAATTACTGTACATAAACAATTCATTAACAACTCATGAACAAATAAGTTAAAGTAAGCGGGAGAGATAGACAGAAAGAGTGGGGAAGAGATTAAAACTTAATTCTTATGACTTTTATTCATATATTAACAAAAGGTAGAAGTATTTAACATGATATACCGACTGACAATTTATTAAACTGTTCCTTTTTTTTTAATAAAAAATTTGATTTACATTTTGTTTAAATACCAGAACCAAAGACACACAGAGAGAGAGAGAGATAGAGAATGATAAGAGAAGTAGTTAATGTGAATTAACAAAGTCACGATTAAATGTTAAATGTCTTTTATAAGTGTTATCATATATGTAGAGAACATGATGACAAATACAAATACGATAAGTTACATTCTATTAAAAAGAATTTGTTTGTTGGCTTTTATATGTTTTAAATGACTTTATTTAAATTGAATAATGAACTTGAATTTCTATGAATTTTGAAAAAGACAAGTTTTCTAATCAGCGTAATTAATACAGTGTATTGTATGAACAAGATGTAGTCAAATGATTTAAACAAAGGATTTTTGAATAACAAGCTAGGATTTACAATACTAACTTTACAGGGATTCTACTCCACTTGTTAGGAAATTTGGTTAAGAATAGAGGTATTTATATGCTACTTGTATTTAAAGCATTGCTCAAATATCCTTGGACCATACATAGAGTAAGCAATAATGGGGTTAGATATAGGGTAATAGGTAAGTATAGCGAATCAATTGACGAAGTAGTTAATTTTCATCAGTTGGGGTTGTTGAGACATGTGTTACGTACTCTGAACCATCGAATAATACGTCGGGTGATACTGTACGGCATGAAAGTAACGTAGAGGAAAGCTAGGTGACGCCAAACCGAAACATAACATCTGTCCATAAAGTCATCGAAAACGGAACTTAACTGTGTTTATAGATGTGGACTACCAGGTTTGAACCCATGTGACAATCGTAACCGGTGGTTAAAGAATTCGAATGATGATATAACTCAAAACCTTTTGCGATTGTGCACATACATCCATGCCAAATTTATGTTGATTCGACTTGTTGACGACGATTGTGAAGGTCTTTTATAGAAAAAAGTGTAAGTTTATGTAAATCAGGGTATCAATTGTTTAAATCGTTTATTTGACAGTTTAAAGTTTTATTCACGTTTTAACAGGAAGTAAAGTTCTGTTGTTGTATGGAGTTGAAACTTGGAAATATACAAAAGCCATCAACTGAGGCATAAAGGAGTTCATAAAAATAATCTCTACGCAAGATATTCCATATCTGTCGGTCAGAAATCATGAACAACAACCTACTGTAGGAGAGAACAAACTAGATTCCAGTTGGAGAAGAAATTAGAAGAAAGCGTTGAAGATAAACGGGATATATATCATAGAAATCACTCAAATACACCACGAAGCAAGCTCTAACTTAAAATCCTCAAGGTAAAATGAAGAGCAAGCAAACCAAAGAACACACTGAGTCAGGAATTGTAGGCATACATCAAAAGAATGATGAGCGATTGAGAAAGCAACTGCAAAGAGAAGCTTCGAAACACCGTATGAAGTTTTTCTGACTTCATAGATAGCAATCTATTAGATGTTTTTCGGTTTCCTTTCTTTATTGTGACATACGATTAATTTATCTTACTCAATTTTGTGTTAATCGATATAATTTCACAGATTACCTTCTTCCATATTAGTCAATCAGAATGTGACATATATATATGTATGTGGTGGATTGATTCAAGTTGCCATACTACATAAGCATTGTTGGGAACTACAATTGTCTAGAACTATTATTTATACAAAGTCCCATGTGTCCGTACAATCAATAACCGCCACCACCAACCCATTAATCCTCATAAGTGTTAGTACATACACACTATAAATACCATGTGAAAAGCTTGAATCCACGACTCCTGCACCCCGCAGGACTCGAACCCAGGACCGTCGGTATTGTAGGCGAACGCCTAACCATCGGACCACTGAGCCGGTATCTAACGGTGTTAATGTCTAACTTGTTCGGGTGTAGACAGTGTCTACCGAAAACTGTGTATGAGGTTGCGCAACTCCGTGAATTTGATCAAGTTAGACATTAACACCGTTAGATACCGGACCAGTGGTCCGATGGTTAGGCGTTCGCCTACAATACCGAAGGTCCTTTGTTGGAATCCTGCGGGATGCAGGAGTCGTGGATGCGCATTGCTGATGAGTCCCATCCATAACAGGACTTGACGGCCGTCTTACAGTGCTTCCAGGTTGCTAATGGTGGTCTAACATTGATCGATTCATGGTTTCAAAAAAAAATGTGTAACTTAACAATCTTCACAACCACGTAATGCAAAAGGTTGAATGATTAAAAGAAAATATCAGTGATTTAATTTGCCAAAATATATAAACTAATCAATTAGATAATATAGATGATGATAGCTTGTTTTAATTTCAACTCTATCAAATACACAAAAGTGAGTACTTGTACAATCAACATTTGATAGACCACACACACATGCACAAGTCTCTTCTTGTCCAACTCTTTTCCATTGGAAACAAAACAAACAGCATCAATTATATTTTCAACATTTACACACATTCACATTCATACACACACACAAATAGATACATACACCTACCTATGTATGAATGTCATTGAATTGTGTTTACAAAATGTGATTTTTATTTTATAATAATAATAATAATTAAAACATTTTTTTTTTAAAAAAATCAAATATTATTCTTATCAAAACAAGACGAATAACAAATAAGAAATGATGTTTGTGAATGTACACTATGAGATAATGAGATTACATACAACACTATGAATTTGCATACAAAAGTATGATGTGTGCATGAATGTAAGTATATATATATATATATTATATATACATACATATATATATATATATAAACTTAGGAGAAAAATCGATTGGTGATCATAATCGACCAAGAGTGATAAAATTAACAAACCCATTAGCATATGTATATATATAAGGAATGTGTTGTATCATTTTAGGGTATAGCTTGATTTATTTTTGAATTATTTTTCTGGTTAGCGTTTTTTTGGCAAGTTAGTTTTTGACGGAATGGGGTCGCCAACCCCATGTCCAACCCTCCTCCTTTACCCAGGCTTGGGACCGGCAGTAGCCCCGAAGGTTCTACTGGCGGAGAGAACAAACCAGATTCCAGTGGAGGAGGAAATCAGGAAGAAGCGGTGGAAGTGGATAGGACACACACTACGAAAAGCACCTAACTGCGTCACGAGACAAGCCCTCACATGCAACCCTCAAGGCAAAAGGAAAAGAGGAAGGCCAAGGAACACATTACTCCGAGAAATAGAGAAAGATATGAGAGGAATGAACAAACATTGGACAGAACTGGAGAAGGAAGCCCAGGACAGAGTTGGCTGGAGAAAACTGGTGGGCGGCCTATGCTCCATTGGGGGTAACAGGCGTAAGTAAGTAAGTTGATTTATTTTTAGAAAATTGAAAAAAAAAGTGTTAGCACTCTAGTCAAATAATATGATTAGGGAAAGTGGATATCATTGGGGAAATTTGGATTGTTTCAGTGTGGTAATGGTTGATAATAGTGATAATTTTGAAAATTAGATAAACTTAGATTAGAATCTTTTTGGCTAGTGTTAGATGCTTTCCTCAGTGGATAGGACACACATTGAGGAAAGCACTCAGCTGCAGCCAATGAACATATTATACCGAGAAATGGAGACAAACGTGAGAAGAATGAACAACAATTGGACAGAACTAGAAAGGAAGGCCCAAGATAAAGTAGGTTGGAAAATGATGGTTGGCGGCCTACGCTCTATTGGTGGGTAACAGGCCTAAGTATGTAAGGTTTGAATCTTGTCCAACCTAGGTAGACAACACTAGCTACTTTATAGATTAATGACGCACACTTATATTCCAAGACCATACAGAATTCCAGATACACTTTATTGAAATAAGAGCAAAGTTTTAGCACTACTTCAGTTAATCAGTTATAAGCGACGTAGAACTTGGTATATCGATTCAAACTGCGAAACTATATCAACACAGAAAGATGCACGAGTAGTATGACTAGTAACGTTCTCAAATGTCTTATTACAACCGACATTGGGTTAGAGTGCACTTTCCATCTCCAAATGATCTCATATGGCCAGCTGTAGGTCAAAGGCTTTGAGAGAGTGGCCTCCTAAGAAAATCTACTGCTACGGTTTGGGCGTCCCTGAATTATCCCAACTGATACACAAATTGAATGATTTGCGAGTAACAGTGTTAGTAGATAGTCGTCATACGTCGACTATAACTGAATAACTAATACTGACATAGGCTAACCGATAGTATGAAATGCATTTAAATTTGTAAGAACTATGAATACAACTCTCACCAGCTTAGTATAAAGTTACATACTGCATTTTTAAGAAAAATAATTCAAGTTAAACAAAAGTGAAACATGTGAAAATAGCTTCAAACTGGTTAGTGAATGAATGAATGAATGATAGGTAGGGTACAGGATCATTGCTATTATTATTACAAGTGCATCTGCGCAAAACAAACAAACTTACAGGTTCATTAGGATCGAAATCTTCAACTGTTTCAATAATATCTGCATTGACTTCACATAAAAGTATTTGAATTTCTTTACGATCACTTTCCGTAACATCAGAAACAAATGGATCCTGAGGCATAAACATAATATAAGAATAAAAACAGATAAATTTCTGAGGTATAAAATTAGAAAATATTTCCATCGTAACTTCTTAATCTGTATTCAGAAAATACTTCAGTCAGTCAGATGCAATGTAGAACTTCGTACATAAGTACATCAGTTCATGTTGCCATACCACATCAGTACAGAGATGTAATTGTCAATTCAAATCCAATAGTAGAAGAGGTAGTAAAGGTATTAGAAATAATCGGAGAGGTAAGGATTAGAAGATATTATTCAAGAAGTATGATTCAGTGAGAAGAGTTTAGAAAGTCAAAACTAGAGGCGTTGTCAAGAGTTGGGGTATCGGCATCGTGACTTCCGAAGAAACTTGGCTTTTATCATGAGACGTCATAACTCTTCTGAGAGAAGATCTTCTAACTCTCAGGGCAGAGTGAAAATGGTTGAAATTGATTTTTCTGGTTAGTTTTTTTTTCGCGAGTCAGTTTTCTACGGTGTTGGGTCACTAACCCAAAGCCCAATTGCTCCTGTATCCGGGTTTGGGACCAGTAGTAACCACAGAGGGGCTCCATGCGTAGTTGTCTTGTGAAACAGGGTTTTAATTAATGCTTTTTTAAATAGATAAATAGACAAAAGATATTGAAATTCAGATAACTTCTATTCCGTGTATTTTTATTTCGATAAACTCAACATTGGATAGTGTCACGCATTCTCCATTTGATTGTTATACTGAATTTATAAACTTATTGTGTGGCGTGAACTAAGTATTGGTCATTGGTTTTCGATCATAGGTGTCTTCGAAGCATTGCTCGTATATCCTGGGACACCCGAGTGGGCAACGCTGTTATTAGGAATCGGGTGCTAGGTAAGAATGGCAGATCAATAGATAAAGTGGTGAAACTTCATCAGTTGAGGTGGTTCAGTCAGTCAGTCAGATGCAACGTAGAACTTTGTAGGTAAGTACATCAGTTCATGTTGCCATACCACATCAGCACAGAGAAGTAATCGTCAATTCAAATCCAATAGTAGAAGAGGTAGTAAGGGAATTAGAAATAATCGGAGAGGTTAGGATTAGAAGATACTACTCAAGAAGTATGATTCAGTGAGAAAAGTTTAGGGAGTCGAAACTAGAGGGGTTGAAGAATCCAGAAGATTAGGGTTTGAGAGAACACAAAGAATAAATGCACTGGCGCCACTGCGAACGATTTTGAGCCATGTCATTCAGGGTCTCTAACCATCGATTATGATCATCTCGCGGACCCCAACCAGGTAGTCGACAATTACCGACATGGCTCAGTCCACTCGTAAATGACTTCATGGATTTCTGCCACGTTTTGGTTTGGCCGCCCCTAGCTTTCTTCCAACCTATTCCTACACTACAAAACAAGGCTCGACGAGGCAGTCGGTGGTTGGGCATACGCAACACATGTCCCAACCACTTCAACTGATGAAGTTTCATTACTCCATCTATTGATCTGCCATTCTTACCCAGCACCTGTTTCTTAATAACAGCGTTGCCCACTCAGGTGTCCCAGGATATACGAGCAATGCTTCGAAGACACCTATGATCGAAAACCAATAACCAATACTTAGTTCACGCCACACAATAAGTTTATAAATACAGTATAACAATCAAATGGAGAATACATGACACTATCCAATGTTGTGTATATCGAAAGAAAAATACATAGAATAGAAGTTATTTGAATTTCAATAACTTTTGTCTATTTATCTATTAAAAAAAGCATTAATTAAAACCCTGTTTCACAAGACAACTCCGCCTGGAGCCCCTCTGGGGTTACTACTGGTCCCAACTCCGGATACAGGAGAATTGGGCTTTGGGTTGGCGACTCGATACCGCAGAAAACTGACTCACGAAAAAAATCTGACCAGAAAAATCAGTTTAAACCATTTTCACTCTGTCCTGAGAGTTAGAAGGTTTTCTCTCAGAAGAGTTATGACGTCTCATGATAAAAGCCGAGTTCCTTCGGACGCCACGAGGCCGATGCCCCTCCTGACAACCAGAGCAACCAGTTTTAGGTACATGGAATTTCCGAGAAGAATGAATAACAGAACTGGAAAGGGAAGCCCAGAACAGAGTAAGTTGGAGAATACTAGTCGACGGCCTATGCTCCATTGGGGGTAACAGGCGTAGATAAGTTAGTAAGTGTTTCACAAAACAGAAAGAATACGTACTGTTGACACAGTAGAAGAGGAACTAATAGATGCTGGAAATTGTTTAAGGAACTTTAGATATTCACAGAAATATACCGAGAAATACGGAAAATGTAAATGTAAAGGTTATAATGTTACAGGGAGAATCAGCCTGAGACTTAGAAAAAGCATTAACAAGGACATATGCTACAGATAAATTAATTGTTTAGTCTAAAATAATATATTTTTTAACACAACCAAAAGACGACACGGTATCACTTTCATGTTACCGCCAAATGTGTATATAAATTTACATGTATCTGCTAAACCAGTTACACTAATAGAACAGAAGGGAGGTCCAGTGAACTTAAAGTATTCAGCAATGTGAGCTCGAGACATTTGCTTGATACAGAACATCAAGCAGATACACTGAAGTCTTTCAAAGTCATACATGATAAACGATCACGTCTTCATCTGAAGTGAGCAAAAGCTATAACCACCAAAATTTCGAAATCACATTTACATATTCACAAAAAGAAACATTGATAAGCCTGTTTTTATCCTGGTAACTTTACATCCACCTTATCACGTTATCCTTCATTCCAACTGTTTTTCGTGATTCGATTACATCGTTTGTATTTTCGCTGAATTCCCGATTTAGATTCTAAATGACAGATTTCAATCGACATGATTGTTTAACATTATTAATCTCATTGATCTCAATTACTCCATTACACAACCATCTGACGTTTCTCAACTTTTGCATTTCAAACCAATAGTTTCATATTCTGCAACTTTTCCTCGCACACTTTATGTATCCTCAACATACTTTTATGACCTGATTCAATTTATTGAAAAATTTCGTTGCATCATGATTCACAGATTTATCTCTATTCACTGACAATTGGACTAAGTCATGTTGGTAGATGTAGGCTATCTGGTTGGGGCCCGTGAGACGAAAGTCACCAATGGTTAGAGACCTTGAATGACATGGCTCAAAATCGTTTACAATAGCGCAGCTCCATCCGTTCGTTGTGCTCTCTCAAATCCTAATCTTCTGGATTCGTCAGCACCTCTACCTTTGTCTTTCTAACCTTATCTCACTGAATTATACTTCCTGAATAATTTCTTCGAACCCTAATCTCTTTGATTACTGCTACTACCATGGACTTTGAATTGACTATTCCATATGTCTGTGCTAATGCAGTATGGCAACCTGAACTGATGTACGTACGTACGTTCGTACGAAGTTCTACGTTGCATCTGACTGACTAACTGACTGACTGATCAATAGTCGTAAGAAAAGAAGGTTAACATCAACCGAAGAAACGCTAAACAATGGTCTTTTCTCAGTTTGATACTTTTCAAGAATAATATACATCCAAGATCACTGACAAGATTTAACAGAGACAGACAGACTATGTCTAGATATATCACATGATCTCGTAAAGGCTAGTTATATGTTGGTCTCAACTCGGAATGTTATGTGAGATATTTTTAGTGACTACACTTTGAACGAATGATCGGATATGATATGTGAAATATAAATCTTCCTTCAATTTTCGTATTGCATGCTTAGACAAACCACATTTGCGCGACGATGGTAATAAGAAGCTCAATGACAAATTCAGTTGGATGAGTTTATTTCATGCAGTTGTTCATGCAGACAGATATAACAATATAAAGCGTTAAAGCAAAACAAAGCGAAATGGAAAAGGTAAGTGTGCCAACTCCATTTGATGTGACAGAAAAAAAGGCTAGACATGTAATGAGCGAAACAAACACTGTACATAATAAGCCCTCAAGTTAAAAACAGCCAAGACTGACAAGATTAAAAGACATGTGAATAGTGTAACTCAGGTAGAAAAGGTTAATTAGTTTGTTCAAAAACTAGAACAAGTCATGTAGGCTCAACATAGATGAGTACACACACCTACACATTACTGAGATAATTGTTTCATTGAAGAAAGTAGATTGGTATTTTAGTCAAGTGCTCTTGCAGCCTACATATCATGATTATGTAGGTCAGAGATAGAGAATATATGAAATACTCATGAATTAGGTAGATTAAAATTCAGTTTGGTTAATTAAATCTTTTTAATCATATCAGCTTCTCGTATGCACAATGTGCTTGTTATATTCATAGAAAGTGTGTAGTAGTGTGATCGTTGGCCCTCGCACAGAATGTGATTCATACAAAAGTATCTGATAAATAATTAAGTCTAAGTATATAGCGAAAACAGGAGGTTTAGGATTAAATCTTAACAAACTATATAATATGTTGTATTTCTGATTAATGTAGTTTCATGAATGTCATCTTGTAATGAAGTTTTACTACGACATGAATTACTATGATATGCATTGTAATTGGTCAATATTTAACAGTTAACGCTACGGTGAAGCCGAGAGTGGGGAGATTTCTCTCTCTCTCTCCCTCGAAATACTTTCATATGGCCATGCTAGAATAGTCACTGACAGCGGAGTCTTAATCACTGAATTCTTATGGCACAAGTGTTGTTTATAGAATTGAGAGGACGAAAAGCAAATATCCGGAGCTTTAGCTGGGTTGGTGGGTATGGAGAATCCATAAAGGGGAGTTGAAAAACCCTTATTTAAAACCAATCACTCTTCTTTCAATACGAGGCAAAGTCTTCAACAGAGTATTGTTAAACAGAATGAAGGACTTCGTACACGCCCAACTTCGAGACCGACAGGCCGGATTTCGTAAGGATCGATCGTGTACTGACCAAACTGCTACATCACGGATCATTGTGGAAAAATCAATTGAATGGAACTCACCACTCTACATCAACTTCATCGAATACGAGAAAGCATTTGATAGCGTGGATAGGAAGCACTGTGGAGGCTTCTTCGACACTACGGTGTGACTGATGAAATAGTTAACATTATACAGAATTCTTATGATGGATTCAACTGCTTTGGAGGACGTTAACACCTTTACATATCTGGGCAGTATCATCGACAACCATGGTGGATCCGATGCAGATGTGAGGGCACGGATTGACAAAGCAAGGGCTGCATTTCTACAGTTGAAAAATATCTGGAACTCCAAACATTAAACCAACACCACAATCAAGATTTTCAATACAAATGTCAGGACAGTTCTACTGTATGGAGCGGAAACTTGGAGAACTACGAAAGGCATCATCCAGAAGATACAAGTGTTTATGAACAGTTGTCTCCGCAAAATACTTCGGATTCGTTGGCTAGACACCATCAGCAACAACGTACTGTGTGAGAAAACAAACCAGATTGCAGTGGAGGAGGAAATCAGGAATAAGCGGTGGAAGTGGATAGGACACACATAGCGGAAAGCACCTGCGTCACAAGATAAGCACTCACATGGAACCCTCAAGGCAAAAGGAAAAGAGGAAAGCCAAGGAACACACTACGCCGAGAAATAGAGAAAGATATGAGAGGAATGAACAAACATTGGACAGAACTGGAGAGGGAAGCCCAGGACAGAGTTTGTTGGAGAAAACTGGTCGGCGGCCTATGCTCCATTGGGGGTAACAGGTGTTAGTAAGTAAGTAAGTATTTAAAACCAATCATGCTAATTGGCTCCAGGATTCTGACCGAACTGATGCCGTATTAACCCGTGGTTGGTCACTCACTGGCTATCATGTGACTGCATCTCCTTACAGAAGTGAACATTAGAATGTTGGATCAAAGGCCTGGGGCGCGACCGCCCTAAGCGTCATAGCAGTGTGCTACTGTACTCACGAATTCAATAACTTGTGGCTGGCACACAAATGTTTAGGTACCCCTTTGGATCAACATTTATGTGTTTAAATAATAAAATAGTGTGATAAAGTGACAGAGAGTTGACTGATATTCATTTACATAACAATCATCTGTAACATCTATGATTTTAAATGAAATTTAGTTAATTACTGACTTGAATAACACTACATTGGCGCTTATTATGCCAATATATATATATGTATAAAATAAAAAATCTAAGAACTTACTAATAGAAGATCTTTACACTCTGGTCTTTGATTTGGATCTTTTTGTAGAGTACGTGCTAGAAATAATTTGAATTTTGAAGACCTACAATAGATTATATAACAAACAATGAAAAAAAATTAATGTGAAGGTTAGTAATACTACTAACAGCTAATGGAAGAGAGTAGCGAGAGTGGTCAATATAATGTGAGAAACCATAATCTTACAAGTTTACAGGTTTATTAAAATATAAAACAGTAATAAATGCAAGTAGTGAATGGTGCACATGGGCTCCAGAATCTTGAAGGAACAAATAAAGAATTGAAAGGTTGTTTAAGGTCATGAGAGAATCAGCAATGAACATAACTGTTTCTTTATACAAATGTTAGGTTCAAAAACTAGTGGATAACCGTTAACCGATAACTAAGAATGAATTTATCGTATCTACCTTCACCAGTGTTATTAAACTGAATGAAACAATCAGTAGACACCCAACGTTGAGATTAGCAAATTCGATTTCGTACGGATCGATCGTGTATGGACATTATGAATCATTGTAGAGAAGGATGTGGATAGTTTTACATGCATGGAGAGCATGACTGATAAACAAGGAAGATCTGGTGCATAGGTAAAGACATGGCTTGGCAAAGCAAGGACAGCATTTACACCATTGAAGAACATCGGATATTCAAACCGATTGTCGAAAAACACCAAAGTCAGTATCTTCAATACAGATCTCAAAACAATTCTGTTGTATGGAGCAGAAACTCGGAGAACTACGAAAGCCATCATTCAAACGATAATGGTCGTTGTAGGGTATCAGTCGTTGTTCGGAGTAGACAAAATACTTTCTAGTCATGTCTTCCCGTATAATGCAGACTAGGGACACTCATTGAGTAGCTGACATTATAGGGTTATAAAGATTGTTGAGCTCCATTGAAATCATGAATCGATCAATGTTGAGAAGTCTCATACTAGGATGAAACAGTTATTCAGTGCTTCCAGGTTTAGGATGGTGGTTTAACATTGATCGATTCATGATTTCAATGGAACTTAACAATCTTTATAACCCTATAATGCCAACTATGTTAGTTTAGGTACTCAGTGAGTGTCACTAGCTTTTATTACACGGGAAGGCATAACCAGAAAGCGTTTTGTCTACTCTGAACAACGACTGCATTTATACAGAAACAACTAGGTTATACTAACCTCTGACTAATATCGTCAGAGAAAAAATATCAACAACAATAAACCATTGTATTTATTTACCAAGAACAGATTTACGGCCAAGTTTAGATAATAGTGATACTACCCAGTTGTCCAGACAAAAGCCAGTCAGTGAAGTTGGAACTCGCACTGTAACAACTGAGCCACTATCACACCGTAGACTATAATTACTGTAAACGAAGCCAAACATAACTATACTGCTAAATATCACGATCAGTTCAAACTATCAAAGGCGGCAGGATAACTTATAATCTATGGTAGATGTGGAAAGTCTATAAACAGGAATTTGAAATGTTTGATTCCTTCTGTATACAGGACCTACTTTAAATAACTAACAATCAGATTGATTCATCCTCAAAAAGAAAAAAATATGACCACTTACCATAAATGTGGTCTAGATAAAGTTGGTGGATCAGATTTCAAAATTGTTAATAAAACACGTGTTGGATTAGTAGAATTATGAGGTGGTCTCCTTTGTGCAAGTTCAATCAAAGTTATACCTAAACAAAGTTAGAAATAAACCTTTATTTAATATATATATATATAATAAAATTAAATAATTCACTTTGATAAGTGAGTATAAGTTGAATTGAACAGTAATATTCAAAGAACACTGACTGATTTGGATTTTCTACTCCCAACACCAATTTTTAGACAAATATATAGTCCTTAAACATTTAGTACTTTGTTCAAAGATTAAAGTATCCGCCATTTGTCGGTACAATTTAAACATTTAGCGTAATGAATTGATAAGGGAAATTAAACAGTCACTAAATTACAAGACAAGCCCTCATTTGGAATCGCAAGTAGACGTCAAAAGAATGGACAGCAATTAGGTAGGACAGGAAATGAAGGCCTAGGACAGATTTGGTTGGAGAATACTGGTGGGCCTATGCTCCATTAAAGGTAGCAGGCGTAAGTCAGTAAGTAAATTAAAACTTAAATTATTATTTATTATAGGATTGCGTAAATGGTTGAGTTTCATTAAAACCATGAGCCTATCAATATTAGATCACCATCCCAAATCTGGAAGAGCTGGATAGCCGTTTCATACTAGTACAGAACTCATTAGCGATGTGCATTCATGACTTCAAGAGCGGAAATCAGACTCAGGACCTGCAATCATGTACGAGCAGACCACCAACGGTAATAATTCCTAACCGGAATTAATACACGACATTGAGAACCAAATCAATATGTTAGAAGTCAAGATTTCGCACGTGGAATCTACGGTGCTGAATTCCATCCCAGCGTGTGGGGTCGTGGATTCGCACTGTTTATGTGTCCCATACTAGGATAAAACGGGCTCTAATACTTTCCGGTGTTTGAATGGAGGTCTAACATTGATCGATTCATGAATTAAATAAATCATTATCATTAGACTTTGCCCCAAGATGTGACAACAATGAAGTTTACATTATTCAACTATCCAATTCTAATTACATTATATAACGGTCAGTCAGTCAGCCAGTTACAACATAGAACTTCGTACGTAAGTACATCAATTTATGTTGCCATACCACATTGTCAATTCAAATCCCACAGTGCTAGAGATAGTAGAAGAGTTACTGGTAATGGAGAACATTAGGGTTCCAAGATATTATTCAAGAAGTATAATTCAGTGAGATAAGTTTAGAAAGACAAAGGTAGAGATGATGAGTAATTCAGAAGATTAGAATTTGAGAGAACACAAAGAGTGGATGCATCTGCGCCATTGCAAACGATTTTGAGCCATGTCGTTCAAGGTCTCTAACCATCGGTGACTATCGTCTCGCAGACCCCAACCAGGTAGCCTATATCTACCAACATGACTCAGTTCACTTGTCAGTGACTTCATGGATTTCTGCCATGTTTTGGTTTGGCCGCCCCTAGCTTTCTTCCAACCTATTCCTACACTACAAAACACAGCTCTTCGATGCAGTCGGTGGATGGGCATTCGCAACACATTTCCCAACCACTTCATCAATTGATCTGCCATCCTTACCTAGTACTCGCTTCCTAATGGCAGCACTGCTTACTAGGGTGTCCCACGATACACGAACAATGCTTCTAAGACATCTGTGATCGAATACTAGTAACCTACGAATATCTTCCACTATTACCGGTCATGTTTCGCATCCATATAAGAGAAAGGATTGAACTGCTGAACAGTACACTCGTCCATTGGTTAGCAAACGGATATCTCGTCTACACCATAAATGATGCAAGTTGGCACAAGTCAATCGAGCTTTCTGTATCCGTGCTGAGATTTCGTCAGTCACCACGTACCTGGTTATCTAGCTGAATGATTCTATTTACAAATGAAGTCAATGACATTCAGTCAGCGATTTCAGAAATAGGAGGTAGTCGGCAACCAGTCATATCTAACACATGTCGCAACCACCTCAACTGATGAAGATTCACTTCTTCAACAATCAATTTACTATCCTTACCTAGTAAGTACCCTTTTCCTAGTCACTGCATTGCTTACTCGATGGTTCCAGGATATACAAGTTTATCAGGTTAATTAGGGTATAATTCTTTACTAAATCAGAACATAAAGTATAAAAGGTCAATCGAGAATAATTCATAGTCTATTTAAAATTGATTTTCTAAAAGTAGGCATATATATTTTCATATGAACAAACCAAAGCAGGTCAATAGTTGAAAGGATTCGAAATAAGAATGAAATAGGATATCGTCAGTCACAATGAATGCTCTCTTTTTAGTGGCTGGGTTAAATTTGAAGTAGGGCTAACCACTTTAGTGACCCGCAATCAGACTCTAATTTGGATGAACGATTAAATATACTATGAAATAAATTTTCCCCTTAATTTCCGTATACCATACTTAGTGGAACCACGTTTGTGCGACAGCAGTAACAAGAAGCTAAATACGGACTAAATTGGATAAGGTTATTTCATACCTTCAGGCAAACAAACATGAGAATACAGTGTCAAGGGAAAACGGAGTGGAGTGGAGATGAGTGAGCCAACTCAATATGATGAGGCATAACTATTTACAGTCGGAAAGAAAATAACTGACAAGATCGAAAGAAGTGTGAACAATCACTTGAGAAAGATAGATTAGTTAAATTTTTCCAAAGACTGACACAAGCCCTGTAGGTTCAACATATTTGGCCATACACTACACCTTAAATACAATCTACTGTGGACTCTTAAATTTACAGGAAATTTCAAACTCAAGAATAGTTTCAAAGTGAAAAAAAAATAGAATTACGGCTGCAGTCTGACATATGATGTTATTTAAAAATTACATTACGGGGTTGTGAAGACTGTTAAGTTACACATTTGAAATCATGAATCGATCAATGTTAGACCACCATTAGAAACCTAAAAGCACTGGACAGCCGTTTTGTTCCAATATTGGATTCATCAGCAGTGCTCATCCACGACTCCCGAACCTCATAGGACCTTCGATCTTGCGCGCGAAGGCCTAACCTCTGAACCACTGAGCCGGTACCTAACGATGTTAATGTATAACTCCGATCAATTCACGGAGTTGCGCAACCTCATACACTGTCTTTGGTAGTTACTGTCTACACCCAAACAGCTTGAACTTCACTTATCAGTGTAAGCGATCTAACATGAAGTAAATTAAGTAGTAATCACTAAGTCCACATGCATGTTATTCAGGTGTAAAGAAATACCGAACTAAAACTCAATATACCTCGTCACAGAGACAGTGTTTGATAGGAAAGAAATATTGACGGAATGAAGAGGAGCTACGACAATTTCACACTTTACAAGAACTAATGTCAATAAATATGAATATGAATAAATACGAATAAAGTAAATGCTTATGAGTGTGCCACATTAACGATAACATCACAATATTTACCCATGGAAAATGTAAATATTGGCATCAGTAAATGAATCATTGTTTATAAGGATATTTATAAGACAGAAAGAACCAGGCAGTATTCAGATTAAGGATATTTTCCAGCAGCGCAAACAATGTTGGCTGAATTTGGGGTTATAAACATTTACCCAGACAGATGGAACTAATCAAGAGAATAACGATACATAGTCTTTACTCCAGTCATGTGATATGACTAAAACAGAGGGAATTGAATATTTGTGTTGATAAACCCGAAAGTAATAAAATGCCCTACTATTTCTTAATTCAATCTTATATAATACGCACATGAAACTCAAAAACTAAATTACCAACACGATCAAATAATCTACAGAGAATAATAATTGACAAAAATTTAATAAAACATACCAAAAGACCATATATCTGCTTTCCAATTATAAGGTGCATCTTTGGAAGTTTCACAGTTGATAACTTCTGGTGCCATCCAATAAGGTGTCCCGATGAATGTAAATCGTTTCTGCTTTTCGTCGGCTAACTTGGCGGAGACTCCGAAATCAGCTATTAATTTTTAAAAAAAAAACAATTTTAGAAAGTCAATTGTTACTGAAATACCTATTAAGTTCACTATTCCAACTATATTCATGTTGATGTATTTATGGGGAGAGAACGATCTAAAATGGTGAGCAAACGCAATTCGGTTTGAATTCTGTGCTGTCCGAGGAGATAAAAACAGTAACATGATCGTCTAATGGCATAATAATCATATTGGCAAGGAGTAGAATTAAAGTTACAAAACAGTAGATAGCAAAGAAATGATACAACTACGGACTGAAACTCTGAGTAAAAAAGTTTTCTTAATCAGTTCTTCTTATTTGGGCTACAGGTTCCTACTTATTACGGAGATATTATTGCTGCTCTTGTGAATGTGAAACATTTTTTAAAACGGTTGTTATATGTGAACTGTATGTCTCTGAGTGTTTATGTTTTTCAATATCAAGTACGTACAAATATCTGCCAGTTATTTAAACACATAAACATTGGTACAAAAGAACATCCTGAATATTTCTGCGCCACACAAATTATTGAATTTTTGAGCGGGCTGAGATACTGCCAGCCAGTCATCAGCAATATAAAACATGATACGCATGAACTGATTCTCGTTAACATACAATATCAACAAAAAGAAATAAAATTATTTTGATATAAATTCCAAAGTAGTAGAATTAGTAACAGTATCAGCAGTGATGGTAGTAGCAGCAGTGGAAGATGTAGAAAAGATTAAGTATGGATAAAGGATAATATTTCGGCACCAGGGTCCTTAAGAAAGATAAGAGGGGAATAAACCTGTGCTTATGAGCTTAATAAAGAATAAATATTGATTTTATTAATTGATGTACAATGTACGCAGCAACGAACCAGATATTTCAATACGACGTTTAGTCTCATTGTGCTGTTTCTCACACAAGTGGGTGGATTGTACTTTGAAATGGCGACCTACCATTTAAAAATCCAAGTTCTCAACAAGAGAATATGGTTCGAGGAAAGGATGTTTTTAACGGACTACTACAAATTAAGATCTAGACGATAAGGATCAATTAAATGTGTCTACTCTATGGTGACTGACTAGTTGTTACGTCACTTGAGGTTTCTAACAACTGATCGCAGTTTTTACTAGGACGTACATCAGGCAATCTGAGTCAATTAATAAGGCTCAGCTAGACAGTCAATAAATTTAAAGACAGATATAATACACCAGTTTGGCTACCCTAAGCATTCCTTCATATTACCACTACTACAGTCAGTAATACGTATTCCTCATCACCTTTCTCTCTTTAAACATTTACTGCACTGAATTATATTTCTTGAGTAATATCTTCGAGCCCTGATTTTCTCCATTACCGCCAATACTTCTAATATTTCTACTACTACGCGATTTGAATTGAAAATTCTGTCTTTGTGCTATTGTAGTATGGCAACCAGAACTTATGTACGCACGTACGAAGTTCTACGTTGTAAATGACTGACTGACTGACTTAGCTAACTCAGCAGAACATTCACTCTCAACACCCTTTACCTCCATTTAGCATCACAACGGCAAAGAGCACAAACAGTAATTGAATTTTTCAGAGTAAATACACTACATGAGTAAATGAGATTCATTAGTAAACATGGGTTTCGCTTCCTCAACCAGCAATAGGTACCATTAAACCCAATCGATCTCAATGAAAGCAACATTTATAATAATTACCAAAGCTCCAAGGTCACTAAATACTTCGGAATCGTCCAAATCATACGACATAAATATATCACAAACAAGCACTATAACTGACTCATTCTCTTCAAAATATCTGGGTTACCAAGCATAAATACTGCTGATCATATTCAGTAGGAAAGATTGTATAATAGACAACAACCTAACTTTTCATAACAAAATACTTTGTTGCGAAAATGTAAACGATAGCCTTTAATCGTTCTCTCTCCCTATTAATATGTAAATATGTTAAAATAAACAAATCAATAAAAAGTAACCTGAATATGAAAGACTGAAACTAACCAAGTTTGATTTCATTATTGAGAGTTAGTAAAATGTTGCCTGCTTTCATGTCCCTATGAATTATTAGCTTCTCATGCAGGAATCCAAGACCTTGTAGGACTTCTCTGGAGATAAATCTGATCTGAGCCTCAGTTAAAGGTTTTTCGAGCGTCTCCATGATGGAATCCAAAGCTCCACCACCACACAGTTCCAGGTACATCTTTTTATAATTTTTAAGAAAAATAACCTACCCACAGTTTGTTTTCATATATGTAAACTTCATGCAAAGAGAGTATGTTCTTGTGCTTGAAATTTGTCAGGATATCTATTTCTACCATAAAATCCTCAAGCTCATCCTCAGAATCAAAATCAACTCGCTTAAGTGCAGCCAATAAGTTAGTGTCACGCTTTTGAGTCTAAAGAACAGGTGTGAATATAAGAAGAGACGCACCTTATACACTTTGCCGAAGGCCCCATCTCCAAGCTCTGAAATAACCTCCCATATATCTGCTGGATTAGTATTCCTTCCTATTGAGGTTGAGAAGCGTTTCTTCCCTGACTCATCAACTGATATAAACTTCTTGAGGAACGACCTTAGCATTTTACGACCACTTTTAGACTGCGCACGACCCTTTAAGGTCACGCGAAGTTACACTGATTTGTCCAAACAGATTACCGCAGTAAGTAAAATAAATCAGCAAGTCTGCCATAAATCGCTGAATTATTACACTATTTACTGCATTCATCAACAAATAAAGTGAAAACGAGGCAAAGAAAGTTTAAGCGTATCAAAATTCCATTTCGTGAATTGTACCAGGAGCTAAACTAAAGATCGTATGCTATATAGTTTGGTTTAAGACTCGCTTAAAATAGAATGATCAGTTTATTATTTATTGATGCAAATTAGCTAGATAAACTGAGTTCATTAACGTCAATATAACGATTTCCAGAAAATGTATACAGATTTTCTAATCAAAAAAGTCGTCAATTCAACATCCAACCGAAACTAGAGGTTTCATATGGCATTAAAGTATTCAGACCTCTGATAACAATGATCTACGATAAACCGAACGAGTATCAAAATATAAATGAAGTGTTACCATTTTTATTCCTCTTAAATGTATCCTTGAGTGTCCGGAAACCCACTGTCGTCCGGTGAAGCTTGCGCTTCCTAGATCTGCTTCGTTAGAACGAGGAGTTTTCAAGACAACATAAGCATGTGCTACACTAACAATCATATATCCAGAAATAAAGCACCCAATCTAAGCCTGACGACTGAAGGATTAATTTCTGACGGCAGCATACTGTCAACCATTATTCAGCGGTCCTTGTAAGACACAACACAAACCGACACAAATTTAATCAGAACACGCGCGTGCTTCGAATTTGACATGGCTTCGCTGACTTTCTTCCATTTTCGGGATACTTTATCACCCCCGAAGCTATAGAAAGTTATCTCCATTCATTGATCGACAATGTGAAAACAATTTCGGGCGAATGGAATCATTCCAAGTCAGAACCATTGTGAAGTAGGTCTAGCTGCCTCGTTCAACTGCTCTTTTTCTAGTTGCTTAGGCAGCATACACACATTCACTCAATCACAAACACAGGACTTGTGGACAAGTTACTGGATACACGCAAAGTTACTTACTAAAATGGCCAGAGGTATGGTGGCAGTTTTGGAGTATTTTCAGACTCTATTCCTTATAGTTATATCATATACAACAAAATTCTTCTTTCCTAAATCCCTTTTTGTGTGTCTCGTATCTTAATTATCTCCGTTTTCACCTCTACATCTCTCTAGTATCATGTTAGGTGATAAGGTTGCCAACACATCTTACACAATAGCAACCAGCAAAACCTGTAGAGGTATAAACCCCGGGGTTAATTGTGGATCAAAAATCCCAGTCACGTGAGAACGGGTCGTTAAAAAACCAAAACCGTCAGTTGATAGCATTCTTCTTTGTCTCCATACTTTGGATCACTCAACACAGACACTACAAGGTCCAAAACAGAGGAAGCAAGACACCACTCCTCCTATTCCTAAAAAGACCAGTAAGCTAGTTAAGAATAGGAGGAAAAGGCGTTCCAAGGCTCAGTCGACACAGTCAAAATCAGTGACTCCGCTTTTGAATGCAACGTCTCTAGTACATGAGTAAATCGTCACTAAGACACTACAGCGCCTAAAGAGTACTATCGATTCATGCTGAGTCACCCTTGCCCGTGGTATATCTGCCCAAGGTGTCGAGTATCTGAGGCTTTTGCAAAGCCACAGGTCCCACCCAAAATCAGCTCTAAAGTCCGAACGATCAAACCAAAATCACCTGGCACTAAACCAGTAAAATAATTGACAGACTACCAAAACCCTGACTAACACACCGACAAAACTGCCGGTTGTTGTTAATCCCTTAGTCTCTGTTAGCATTACAGAACAGTGGGGTGAATGTGAAGAAGGGGAATAGCAACACCCCAACTCACAAGCGGCTACAACCCAAGGACAGGGAAGACAGAATAAATTCACTTATTCTATTCAGTGTCGCAGTATCGGAAGGAAGCTTGCTAGAAGGTAGGGCTGACTTTGACAAAGAGCAGTGGGATAAACACTGCACAACCCTTGGAATTTGAAACATCACAGCTAAAATATGTCGCCTTTTCAAAGGCCAAAATGTCGAGAGTAAAATCCTCTCCAATGAGGGTGACTCTTGACTCGTCACGACTTGCTGAAGACATCATCCTTACATCCCAAACACCATGGGTCAAATTTTTCTCGCCGATTCGTATCAGGCATGACGTACCGTGGTCGGTACGAGCGGCAGCCAGGACTACACCAGGCACCCGAGAGCAGGCCACTATGGTAGTTCACAGTTTACCCGAACTCGCTGACGGCAACCCGGACGAAGCTGACGTGCACGATGTGCATTAGTGGCGATGGCTATAGCGTAGCGTAGCCCTTCACACCACGATGGCTGTTTATATTCCTAGGTTACCCCGCCTGTCACACCTTACGTCCATCAAGTCATCATGTCTGATGGCCATGACATTTAGGAACCTGGAAGACCTGACTGAGGCACTCCAAGCTTCGCACACTTCGAAGAACGATATTTCTAGCCTCATCAGGTGTTGCCAAAGCCGACCTGGATCTGTGAGACAACAGCAGGGAGACCACAATGAACGCACAAAACTGATAGTTTGACCTCGGTCAACAACCCCTGGCACAACATACGATTGGACTCACTGCACAGGCACTATATCTGCAGAGGCCAGTTCACACAGAAATGACCTACTCGGTTTGAACGACTTGTTTGAAAATCCTACATCGGCTGTTGCTGAAGAAGAGCACCAGGTGCTAAAACAAACCACCAAGTGCCCCTATAGCAACATAAGAGGAGTAAGGGGAAAGCTGTTAGAAATCAGGAATACGTGCTCTTAGATGGATCTGAAGATCACAATCCTAACTGAAACATGGCTATCCCCTGACATTGCAGGCGAGTAAGTGAGCTTGCAAGGAATGACAGTAGATGATCAGTGGCAAACAGTGACAGATATCATCCAAAACGCTGTCGTAAACAATGTACCTTAGTCACACCACACACCTAGGAATAGAAGAGCTTGGGTGAGACGCGGCAATGAAAGCTTGCTACAGGCGAAGAGAAGAGCCTGGCACAAGAGGAAGGTCTCCTTGAAGGATTCCGATCTCAGTTCTTACTTTGCATTGAGAAACATATGCAATACCAAAGTTCGAAGTGATAGGAGACGATTTCAGATGAAGCCAGCTGCCAAAGTATAGGCGGACCCGAAGCATCTGTTTACGTTCATGTCCAAAAGATAACCTACCCATCAAGGGCTGTGTTCTCTAAAAGGACCAAATGCGAAAGACCTCACCAACCTAGAGATGGTCGAGATCTTCAACACTAACTTTACTGAGCAGTTAATCCAGGAACCCACATGTTCAGAGTACTACGCAAACCCAGTGCAACATCCGTACCACTCCGGACTTAGTACTAAGGAAACTAAAATCCTTACGCCCAGGTAAGTCACCAGGTTGTGACGAAATTCGTCCCATAGTCTTGCGACAATATGCAGAAGTCCTCTGTTCACCGATATGTAACCTGTTCAGGAATTCACTGGAGTCACACCAATTCCCAGGTGAATGGAAGCAAGCTACACTCTCTTCAATCTTCAGAGGAGGAGATATAAAGGACACAGACTGTTACAGACCAGTCACATTACTACCAATACTGTCAAAGGTAATGGAAAGGCTGGTGGACGAACGAATGAGGGAGTACATGAATATGAATAAAATACTCCATGAAGATCTGGAGGTCCATTACAATCAAAGACGATTCGGCTGAGCTTCAAAAGGACCTTACATCTATTGAGAAATGGGCAGTGAAAAACGGTTTAAAACTCAACCAGCCGAAGTGCCACGTCATGCATATTCTGCCTTACACGACGCAAACGATCTATACCCTCAATGGAAATCCGCTCTTTAATCTCTCCTCAGAGCGTGATCTCGGTTTAATAACCACAGAAAGCCTTCACACCAGTTCAAACTATGTAGGAAACGCTGCCAAGGCAAATGCGACCCTTCACTTTATGCGAAGAGAACTTGGTGCTGTCACGCCACAATTATTTTTAACACTATTTAAGACATACGCTCTCCCACACCTGGAGGCTCACAACGTCATCGCACCCCCTCTGCTTAAAAGAGACATAAACCTCTTGGATCGGGTGCGGAGACGAGCAACAAAATGGGTGATAGGGTTGAATCCAGCACTTGGGATTATTTCCACTGAGCTACAGTAGAATCAGAGGTGATCGGATTATGGCATACAGCATATTAAGCACGTCAAACCATCCCAACGTGAGCATCTTACCGATGCATCACCACCACTCCTCTCAAGGCAATTCTCGAAACATTGAGCATCAAAGAGCGAATACTCAAGCTCGTGCGCACGTTTTCTCATTAAGAGTCGTAGCAACTTGGAATGCTCTCCCGGCCGAGGTGACCACAGCCCCTTCAGTGGACAGCTTCAAGAAGAGACTTGATAATCACGTACTCACATACGGATTATCATCTCCCTTTTGGACAAGACCTGCTAGCTGTTATCCTCACCATCTCCTCAGATCACTCTATTAATCTATCTCGCTTATTATTTCTGTTTACTCTCCCTTGCTTACAATTCAGTCCTCTCTCAGAATCTTCACTACCAATCAATAAACTAAATCATCTATATATTATTTAGTACTGTAAGTTTTCTCCTTATTATTCCCCACATTGCAACCAACTAATCTTCGGTCAGGTAATGTGATAGCTGATGGTATCTAGAAACCCTAATGCCCTGAGACAAACGTATTCAAACACACAAACTCACAACCAGCTGCTAACTGACTAGAGTTAGACAGTCGAGTTACTAGACCCCTATTCATTGGACACCACCGGACACCCAGAACCGTACCGAAAGAACAAGAATCGACCGCAAAGAAATCAAGTGGTTTATACGAGCTCGTGAAAAAGATATTGGATATTGGAAATCGTCCTGAATTTGGGTTTCGCATACAAACCCGTCCATTATTTGGAAACTAATTTATTAGCAACTCCGCCAGTAGAACCTTCGTGGCTACTGCCGGTCCCAAGCCCGGGTAAAG